ACAAGCAGGAACTGAAGACAGTTGCAGTAGAGGCCTGGCAGAGCATCACCAGGGATGAAACCCAGCGTCTGGTGATGTCTATGCGTTCCAGACTTCAGGCTGTAATTGACTGCAAAGGATTCACAACCAAGTATTAAAAAGTGAAAGTTTGATTTATGATTATTATTCTGTCCCATTACTTTTGGTCCCTTAGCAAGTGGGAGGCACATATGCAAACTGTTGTAATTCCTACACCGTTCACCTGATTTGGATGTAAATACCCTCAAATTAAAGCTGGCAGTCTGCAGTTAAAGCACATCTTGTTTGTTTGTTTCATTTCAAATCCATTGTGGTGGTGTATAGAGCCACAAATGTTAGAATTATATCGATGTCCCAATATTTATGGACCTGACTGTATATTCACATCAGTCCCCAACCCTCAAGGGGTGTACAGTCTAAGGTCCCTAACTCACATTCAAACTGTAGATACATACTAGGGCCAATTTAGGCAGGAGCCAATTCACCTACCAGCATGTCTTTGGAGTGTGGGAGGAAACCAGAGTACCTGGAGGAAACCCACGCAGGCACAGGGAGAACATGCAAACTCCAGGCAGGTGGTGCCGTGGTTGGGATTTTTGAACCAATGATCCCAGTACTGCCAGGTGACGTGCTAACCGTTTAGCCACTGTGCTGCCCCACAGCATGGCCAGTGTACGTTCCATAGTTCTTGGTAGATGTATCTGCAGACACAAAGTTCATGTAGCTCTCCCAGAATGCTTATAGATGTGCACACAATCAGACTAGAATGAGCAGAGTGCACATTTATAAGGATGCCGGGGATGTAGCCTCTCATGTAGAACACTGAGAACTACACTAGATTACCCAAAGTATTGGTCGGCTGCCTTTACACGCACATGAACTTTAATGGCCCCCCAGTCTTAGTCTGTAGGGTTCAATATTGAGTTGGCCCCGCCCTTTGCAGCTATAACAGCTTCAACTCTTCTGGGAAGGCCGTCCACAAGGTTTAGGAGGGTGTCTATGGGAAGGTTGGACCATTCTTCCAGAAGCACATTTGTCAGGTCAGGCACTGATGTCGGGGGAGGAGGCCTGGCTCGCAGTCTCCGCTCTAATTCATCCCAAAGGTGTTCTATGGGGTTGAGGTCAGGACTCTGTGCAGGCCAGTCAAGTTCCTCCACCCCAAACTCGCTCCTCCATGTCTTTATGGACCTTGCTTTGTGCACTGGCTTGCAGTCATGTTGGAACAGGAAGGGGCCATCCCCAAACTCTTCCCACAAAGTTGGGAGCATGAAATTGTCCAAAATGTCTTGGTATGCTGACGCCGTAAAGAGTTCCCTTCACTGGAACTAGGGGGCCAAGCCCAACCCCTGAAAAACAACCCCACACCATAACCCCCCCCACCACCAAACTTTACACTTGACACAATGCAGTCAGGCAAGTACCGTTCTCCTGGCAACTGCCAAACCCAGACACATCCATCAGATTGCCAGACAGAGAAGCATGATTGATCACTCCAGAGAACACGTCTCCACTGCTCTAGAGTCCAGTGGCGGCATGCTTTACACCACGGCATTCAACGCTTTGCATTGCACTTGGTGATGAAAGGCTTGGCTTGGCTGCTCGGCCATTGAAACCCATTTCATGAAGCTCTCTACACACTGGTGTGCTAATCTGAAGGCCACACCAAGTTTGGAGGTCTTTATCTATTGACTCTGCAGACAGTTGGCGACTTCTGCACACTGTGTGCTTCAGCATGCACTGACCTCGCTCTGTCATGTGACGTGGCCTACCACTTGGTGGCTGAGTTGCTGTTGTTCCCAGTTGCTTCCACTTTGTTATAATCCCACTAACAGTTGAGCGTGGAATATTTAGTAGCCAGGAAATGTCACGGATGGACTTATTGCACAGGTGACAACCTATCACGGGACCACGCTTGGAGTCACTGAGCTCCTGAGAGCGACCCATTCTTTCACAAATATTTTTAGAAGCAGTCTGCATGCCTAGGTGCTTGATATTATACACCTGTGGCCATGGAGGTGATTGGAACACCTGAATCACATGATTTGGAGGGCGGGGCCAATACTTTTGCCAATATAATGTATGTCCTGTCTGCCTTCCCTCATCACATGATGTGGTTGATTTATTAAGGCCAGGTTCACACCTATGCAGGTTGCATTTGAGCTGTTTCTGCATCGCGTTTGTGTGGCATTTTGCACCTGCGTTTTTTGCTTTTTTTTTTTTTTTTTTTTTTTTTTTGTTGCTAGGCAGATTTAAAATGCAGCAAAAACACACTACATGCTTTTCTGCAGCATTTCCATTGAAGTCTATAGAACCAAAAGTGCAACTTTTTGTGTTCAAAAAAAGTAAAAAAAAAAAAAAAAATGCATCGGGTGAAAACGCGGAGATGTTTCCTTAGAGTTTATATTCTCATTGGTCTGTAAACGTTTGCCATTTTTGCAACTTACTGTTTTCTCCCCTTTTTTTTTTTTTTTCCTCCTCTTTCTGTACTCGGCACTTAAGTATGTTGTTTAATTCTATGTCTCTCCATCAGTACGTATTTTGTAATATTCATCGAATACCTTGTATGTTTTATTCCTGTTGGTCAATGTATGTTTTTGACTGATTCGCTGCTCCTATCTATTCTATAATAAAATTCTTTGTAAAAGAAAATGCGGAGATGTGAACATGTCCCATAGGAAATCATGTTAAATGGACTCTACTGCATTTCTGAAAAATGCTTAGGTGTGAACCTGGGGTAAATCTGGAGAGTAAAAAATCTGATTCAGCTGTGCATGGCAGCCAATCAGCTTCTAACTTCAGCTTGTTCAATTAACCACTTCCTGGATGCCCTATAGCAGTTTTATTGCTACAGAGCAGCCACTCTGCGCAAAATCACGTAGATAAATGTGATTTTGCATTTCCAGGTAGAGGGCGTGTGTGCTGCCCTACCCACACTGTCATTGGCTCCCAAAGATGTCAATTACCGGGTCCAGCTATTCATGACTAGGACTTGGTGATGGATGGAGCAGCTGACGGGAGAGATCTGAGTGTAAACACAGATCATTCTCCTGTCAGTGGGGACATGCTGCAAAGCAGAGAGAGAAAAACCAGCATGTCCCATAGTAAAACACAACACATTATTCACCCTGCCTAACACAGTTAACCCTTTGATTGCCCCAGATGTTAACCCCTTCCTGCCCAGTGTCATTAGTACACTGTCAGTGCTTTTTATTAGCACTGATCACTGTATTGGTGTCCCTGAGGATGCCATTGGCAGTTAGTCAGTTATCAACCAGTGTCAGTCAGTGTCAGAATGCTCGCCAGAGTCCCACTATAAGTCGCTGTTCGCCGTCATTACTAGGATAAAAAAAAAAATAAAGCAAAATTCCAGTGTATATATATTGCCATTTGTAGACGCTATAATTTTATGCAAACCAATTAATATACACTTTTTGGGATTTTTTTTTTTATCAGACATAGCAGAATACATTTTGGTCTAACTTTATTAAGAAATTTTTTTTATTGGATATGTTTTATAGCATAAAGTAAAAGTTTGTTTTTTTGTTTTTTTTTACATGTTTCATATATAGTGGAAAAAAATAAAAAAAAAAAACCTATTGATGATCAAATACCACCAAAAGAAAGCTCTATTTGTGTGAAGGAAATTATATAAGTTTCAATTGTGTACAGTGTGGCATGACTGCGCAATTGTCCGCTAAAGTAGCACAGGACCATATAGCAAAAAATGGGCTGGTCATGAAGGGGGGTAAATCTTCCGTAGGGCAAGTGGTTACTCTTTGGCAATAAACCTTGAAGCTGATTGGTTTCTATGCTCAGCTGCACCAGATTTTGCACTCTCCAGTTTTTGTGAATCAGCCCCACTGTATGCTGCAGGAATATGCCCCACACAGCCACATGTTTTTTTTTTTTTTTTTAAATAGTGCCAGCAAATGGGGGGGTAAAGATCCCCCGCTTGCTGTCACTAGAGCCAGAGGAGTGGGCAGAGGCTGCAGGAGTAGGAACATGTTACCCAGCGGTATATTTAGGAGTAGAGACCCTGACACCAACCTACAAAACCCCCGAACCTCCATTCCCCCCCCTGGAGAGAGCCTGACAAACGGTGACCAACACCACCAGCCCCCCGCAGAGAGAGCCTGACAAACAGTGACCAACACCACCAGCCCCCCGCAGAGAGAGCCTGACAAACAGAGACCAACAACACCCCTGCCCCATCATCCCCCCCCCCCCCCCCCCCCCCCCAGCCAAGTGAGCCTTTCCCCAACACCTACCCTCCCCGGCGACAGATAGAAAGCCACTCACCTTTGCAGCTCTGGACATCCCTGGGAACGACCGTCGGGCTCTGCATACACCATCAAGCAGCCTCTCAGATCCCACCTGGTCCCCAGCAGTGCTGCCCCCCTAAAAAATGCTGCCCTAGGCAAATGCCTTGTTTGCCTTGTGGTAAATACACCCCTGGATGCACCCTAAAAATGGGTGGACCATGTAACATGTTCCTAAAAATAAAAAAACCCAGTGATGATCAAATACCACCATAGAAAGCTCTATTTGTGTGAAGAAAATGTATATAAATGTCATCTGTGTACAGTGTTGCATGACTGCGCAATTGTCCACTAAAGTAGCGCAGCACCGTATAGCAAAAAGTAGTAGTTACGCTTTGACAATAAAGCTGGAAGCTGATTGGTTTCTATTCTCAACTGCACCAGATTTTGCACTCTCCAGTTTTTGTGAATCAGCCCCACTGTATGCTGCAGGAATATGCTCTGCACAGCCACGTTTTTTTTTTTTTTTTTTTTTTTTTAATAGTGACAAGCAAGGGGGCAGGGTCGTATTTACCATAAGGCAAGCAAGGCATTTGCCTAGGGTGGCATTTTTCAGGGGGCTCTCCAGTTTTTTTGTCAATCAGCCCCTCTGTATGCTGCAGGGATATTCTTGGTATGAGTCGGTGTGTTTGTTCTTACATATATCCTCTGTCTTTCTTCCAGCCACAATCCAGGGCGCTCCGCAGCTCTCCATGGTAGCTCTGTTCCGTTATATCGTGGCTCGGGAAGGGTTCCTGGGCCTGTACCGAGGAATCGCTCCGAACTTCATGAAAGTGATACCTGCGGTCAGCATTAGCTACGTGGTCTATGAGAATATGAAACGTGTGCTGGGTGTGACTAGTCGATGAAGAAAGCGCCACTTATCACCCCCCCCCCCCCCTACAGATTATTTGGGCACACAGAAGAGCCTATAGAAGCTATATCCAGAATTGTCTGAAGAGCTACGTCCTAATATCGAACACCCCATCGCCAGCCACGCTCTTGTTCTCAGGACCGGAGGATACGGCACCTTCTGAATGCAAACCTCCTGTTACACCCCGGGCTCGGGTTCAGTATCCGTATTCAAAGTTCTCCCGTTTTCAGTGTGTTTTTATAATCCCAACATCATTCAGACTTTAGTGATGTCGGAAATTGTTACATATTAAGGATGCTTCGGGGGAGTTGATTTTCTGGGAGTCAGGAACAATGAATGTGTCATTTTATAATGATTGTATATTTTGCATGTAAGGACATTTTGGCTTTTTTTTCATGGCCAGAAGGCTTTTCCTTGCCTGATTGGCCTTTTTGTGAATGTAATGATGCATACACTGAATGTAGAGTATCCTGGTGCATTGTGGGACATTGTGTCCTGCACATGATAATGGTTAAGCTGTGAGCGGCTATCGATGTTTGTAGAATCCTAATTCCAGAGAGATGTCTATAGTTTTTCTTTTGTTTCAATGGAGAACCAAAGGCTAAGTCCATTCAAATGATGTTTCAGTTTTATGGAAATTCCTTAAGCTCTTCACGCCGGCCGAACGCAAATGTGCGACCTCCCGGCGTCTGGGCTTAGACGCCGAGTGGCCGCGCATTTGCGTTCTATTAAAAAAGGACATATGTGTCGAGAGCACACATGTCCGGTACTCACGGAAAGGTCCCGATCTCCCCTTTCAATCTGACCTTTCCCGATCATGTGACTGTCACGGCGGTCATGCGTCACGGCGGTCACATGACCCTAAACCCCGGCTTCTGGAACCCTTAAAGGGCCGAGAGGCGCCGGCGTGAAGGGGTTAAAGTAGAACTAAAGGCAACACTTTTTTTTTCATTTTGGATACAGCAAGGGAGGGTTATAACCCCTGTCAGTTTATTTTTTTCCAAATATGGAACACAGGTGGTCGATTCCATGGCACTGGCACCGTTTAGAGCAGGGGTGTCAATCTGGCAGCCCTCCAGCTGTTGTGAAACTAAAAGTCCCATCATGTCTCTGTCTTTGGGAGTCATACTTGTAACTGTCAATCTTGCAATGTCTCATGGGACAGTTTGGCAACAGCTGGAGCGTCGCCAGTTTGATACCCATGATTTAGGGAATGCTTTGCGTTTCGTCAATGAATGCAGAGCATTTTCTAATTGGACGAGATAAAGAGCATGGTGGTCAACTCATCCAACCAGAGAATGCCCTGCATTCTTTGAGCAAATGCAAAAATAATCGTGTATAGTGTGAAGCGGCTGACCTCCTGTGTAGTAGTGGTGACTACTACAGTGATTTCCAGCTTTTATAGGTATCCCGCAGGTATGGAATATGCGTAGTTCCATTGGTCTGAACTGGACCAATGTATCTATGTAAAATTATCCATACCTGGAATTCTTCTTTAAAGGGAGCCTGTGCCCAGACTATACGCATTAAAGTATTTACATCTTCTGAAAAGGAAACCGTGTAAAAGCACTTTAAAATAAGCCCTCACTGCCCTTGATAGCTGAAGGCATTTTAGAGAAATTCATCTGCAAAGTTTACAACGAAAACCTTGAAATCACAGTTCCTATTCCTTTATTTCTTATGTCAGCCTCGAAGCCCTCTAAAGTAAAAAGACTGATGCTCAAAGCTTTTAGATACCAACTGAAACCCAGTGCAGATCTGCTGTGATTTTATTTGAATGAATTACTCCACAGTACGCAGGATGTTAGAGGCAGAAACCGGCAGCAAGATCCTGGAACATTTACATGCGTATGTAAATTGCCCTGCTGCTAGGATGCAGACGGCTTCACAAGGAAACTGTCTAGGATCCTTCAGTTGCAGAACATAGGTGGCTTTTTATTTAAGCCGTCAAATGTCCTCCTATTGCTTAGTCATCAGCTGCTTCTCAAGGAAGGTGCCTAGCTTCAATCATTGCTAGGGCACAGGAGGCTTCTCAAGGAAACATCCTAGTGTTCTTCAGTTGTTAGGACGCAGGTGGCTTCTCAAGGAAGGTGCCTAGCTTCAGTCATTGCTAGGGCACAGGAGGCTTCTCAAGGAAACATCCTAGTGTTCTTCAGTTGTTAGGACGCAGGTGGCTTCTCAAGGAAACATCCTAGTGTTCTTCAGTTCTTAGGATTTGACTTCTCAGGAAGGTGCCTAGCTTCAGTCATTGCTAGGCTTTCTCAAGGAAACATCGTAGTGTTCTTCAGTTGTTAGGACGCAGGTGGCTTCTCAAGGAAACATCCTAGTGTTCCTCTCAGTTGTTAGGACGCAGGAGGCTTCTCAAGGAAACATCCTAGTGTTCTTCAGTTGTTAGGACGCAGGTGGCTTCTCAAGGAAACATCCTAGTGTTCTTCAGTTGTTAGGACGCAGGTGGCTTCTCAAGGAAACATCCTAGTGTTCTTCAGTTGTTAGGACGCGGGTGGCTTCTCAAGGAAACATCCTAGTGTTCTTCAGTTGTTAGGACGCAGGTGGCTTCTCAAGGAAGCCGCTTGGCCTCCTTTGTAGCAACAGAGGAGGCCAAATGACTTCCTTGAGAAGCCACCTGTGTCCTAGCAAGGACACAGGTGGCGCCATCCTCTGTTGCTAGGACGTATTAGCTTCTGAAAGAAGCCACCTAGCATCCTTTTGTTGCTAATATGCAGGCAGTTCTTGTACTCTGAGTACATTTTCACTGTATGCATGTGAACATTGGCACAAAGCTTTAACTTTAAGATATGCATTTTTTTTGTGGATCTGATCTGAATTCAGAGCAAGTTTGCTGATCTTTATGCTGCTGTGTGCAGGGGCACAGAGAAAACAATATCTGCGTTCAGAACTGTAAAGCTGTTCTATAATCTCCTGTGTTTTTGACGACTGTGTGCCTGACCCCTTAAAGGATAAGTTCACCTTTTTAAAAAAATAAATAAATATATCCACATTGTTTGACAGATGAAAAAAAAAGTGCAATTATTTATTTATTTATTTATTTTTTTACTTGGAGCCTGAAAAGCATTGCACCAGCGATCAGCAGATTGCAGGTGCCATGCAGAACTTCTGCAGACTTGTCAGGGTGTCTGGTAATGTCCATGGTCTGTGCACAGGGGCACTTTAAGGAGAGATCGCTCAAGGGCTTCTTATGTCACTTCTTGGTGATTCATTGGGGTTGATTTACTAAAACCGGAGAGTGCAAAATCTTTTGCAGTTCTGCTTGGAAATTAATCAGCGTCCAGTTTTTTTTTTTGTCAACACTTAATTGAAGAAGCTGATTGGCTACCATGCACAGCTGCACCAGGTTTTGCACTCTCCAGTTTTAGTAAATCAACTCTGTTGCGTCTCCACACCAGACTTCCCAGTGTCTCCTGGCATTTAGTCATTAGAAAGGAGCCTTGGGGCCCGTTCACATTCTTCTGATGAGTTGCATTGTGCTGTTTGACATATTGACATGCATTGGTTGTGGTTTCGTTTTGAATAGGCTGTCGGTGTGTTGCAGTGCATATGCTGACAGACGTTTTTACATCAGCATGACCCACAATGCACCATAGATTGTGCTGCGCTGACCTGGCGCATTAGGGTGTTACCAAACTTTGCGGTACCGTACAGTAAAATGTTGGTTTTACCCCTTGTTACCACAATGCAATAGATTGAATGGGCCTTTAAGGTAAATATGTGCTTTGTTTATGCAGGACAAAGCAACAGGTTTACTTTTATGTCCCCCCTTCACCCTCAACATCCCCTCTGCGCCCTCAACATCCCCCCTGCGCCCTCAACATCCCCCCCCCCCCCCTTCGCCCTCAACATTTCGCCCTCAACATTTCGCCCTCAACATCCCCCCTCCACAGCTGTTTATACTTAAAATTGCTTCATCACCGCTGCTAGAGCATAGAAGAGAAGCCCCATGTAAGACCCAAGTCCCTCTGGTTGGAGCTTACACAGGGCTAAAGGACCTTCTCCACCCCCCACCCCCCCACGGGGCAACATGCAATTCGAGATTGTTCCTTTTGGAGTCCCAGAGACAATAGGAAGTTACTTAGTTACTTAATCCTGCGAAAACTCAAAAATCTTTGTAGGGTAACGTGATCTATTTTGGGTTTCTTTATTAAGATGCAGGTTTCCCTTGCTAACAGCTAAGCTTTCTCTTGAAACAGGTGCCTGGTATCCCTTTTTTACTGTTTTAATGCATTTAGGAGAACTTCTGCTCTTATTGTTCTTCAACAGGATACTGAATTGATAGCCACATGAAAAAGGAGGGTGTTTGATGGACAACTTGTAACCGTTTCAAGACACAGCTTAGCCGAGAGCAAGGCATATGTACAGCCCTTTCATAAAGGGCAACTCCATGCTAAGGTATCAGAATCGGTGGGACAGAGTTGCATACTATGCAACAGGTGAGCTGAGTGCATGTACATTAAAAGGGATGCTGTTGGCCAATGAGGGTGTCCATTTGTCACCCCACATTCGGTAGACACACAAGTTTTTTTCAGAAATCTACAAGCAGTGTGCCGTATTGGCTGCTATCAGTGCCAGTTGGCTGATTCTCTTTATCTCCTCACCTGCATTCTCTGAAGGATGTCCTCCTGAAGTGTTGGGCTTCACCCTAGGTTCACATCTGTGCGGGTCGTGCCGCTGCGGATCCGCACGAAAATCCGTGCAGCCACACAGAGAATTGCGGACCCGTGGGAGGGTGCCATTACTTCTAATGGCACTCCGCCCACACTGGAAAACCCAACCGTACTGAGAACGGAGGTTCCCGTGCGGGCTGCGTTTTCCAAAGAAGTGCAGGGACTTCTTCCCTGCGTGTCACAGGGCACGGGAGCCCATTCAAATGTATGCGCTCTCGTGCCTGTGCCAAATGCGGCCCGCACGGCTGCATAGATGTGATCCGGGGGTTAGGGGGTAAATCTTGGGCAGCAGGCAGTTCGGAAACATAGGAAGATC